GAGACATCTAGGGAAGAGTGAAAGGGAAAGAGCAGGGTAGGTTGAAAAATGACAAGGAGGTGAGAGGTGAAGAAAACAAATCAGAAATTTTTAATAGAAGCTTATCTCTATGGCTTCCTTTGAGGTCAGTTGACAGTTTTTTGTTTCTGTTTTATGACATTCAGTTTTAAGATATTTCTCTTTGGCTGGACCCTCTCATCTACTTTATAATTTACAGGCCATTTTTACTTAAATTATCTTATTTCATCCTTACAATAATCCTACGAACCAAGTAAATCAAGTATCATTATTTACATTTTACCAAAGGGGCAAATAAGATTCAGAGAAGTGAGGTTACTTTTCCAAAGTTACTTTTGGAAAGCAAGACAAAAAGTAAGCAATTTAATTTTTGGTGTATAAGGTTTATTTGTAATTTACATCAGTCAGGGTTTGTGTTCGGTTCACCACTATTATTATGAAGTAATAGTCACAGGTTGTTTTAGGTTTGCATTTGGCTGGACTATTGGGGAAATTAATGAATAGAAACCTCATTAAATTAGAGTAAGAGACACAAGGGGGAGCTCTCATGCCCTACAGCAATAGCAGAGCCCAACAGGAAGAAGAAAGACTTCTTGACCAGCAAGAAGCTCAGCCAATGAGAGACTGTCATAACTCAGCCAATGAAAAGCCACTATACATGGAACTCTCACTTCCTCCAATGGACTCTGTTTACAATAGTCCTCCCAGTGTCCTCTTTCTCTCTACAAAAGAGTTTCTCCTCCCCTATTGCTGGGGACTTGAGTGTGGCTCACCGTAGTTGCAGACCCTGAATTGCAATTCTTTGCTGAACCTGAATAAATGCACTTTTGCTGGAGAAATAACTGGCTATGTATTTGTTTAAGGCCAACATTTTGGTGGCCTGTGTGAGGATCCAGAGAAGACCCCCAACAACTCCAAGGCAGTGAGCAAATAGGTGCAGTACCCACAACGGAGTCCATTGAGCTCACCGCTTTTCTTGGCAACACTGGAGCTTGAGCGTTAAGTCTTTCTCCTGGATCCGAGCTTTCACCATCTGTGTTTGAGCCTCTCCGGGCTTTATTTGTGATCTGTTTTAAGGCTTTGGCCCTTTCTGGTTAAAGCCTTGTTTGTCTGCAAGTACTTAGGTGACACTTCAACTAGACTCTGAATCAGGCTGTTCTTTGGAACTGCTAACCTCTGGCCCAAATTTCAGGCTGTTTGATTGGAACTGAGCTGGTCCCGCCTTTGGTCTGACTCCATTGGAAGCAGACTGTTCCTTGGAATTGCATTGATCAGCCTTCAGTCTGATTCCTTTTGGAACTGAACTGTTCATTGGAACTGCATTAAATCAACCTCTGGTCCACTGTACTGAAATCAGACTGTTCTATTGGAACTGGCTGGTGTTAAGCCTGCAGGCTGTTTCAGCTGTTCAAGCTGTTTGAGTTGCAAGCTATTTGAGCTCTTTAGGCTATTTGAGAATTATTCCCTCGCTCTAGAGAAAAACCTCTAAGAAATGGGATCCTAGTTACCTATATATTTTGAGGCCACCCCTCCTACAGGGACCCTGATTTTAAGTTCTAAAAGCTGCCGTACTTCCTCATGTGCATTTCTAACTACAGTCACGCACTGCATAAGGACGTTTTGGTTAACAATGGACTGCATATACAACAGTGACTAGTACCATAAGCCTAGTACCCATAAGACTAGTACCATAAGACTAGTACCATACGACTAGTACCATATAGCCTAGATGTGTAGTAAGCTATTCCATCTAGGTTTGTGTAAGTACACTCTATGATGTTTGCATGACAAAATCTCTTAACGATGTATTTCTCAAAACATATCCCTGTCATTAAGCAACACACGACTGTATATAGACCAACTTAACCAAAAGTAATTTAGAATACCAGTGGCCATTTTGGGAAACTTTTGAACTCCCCAAACTTATTTTTTTTAAAACCGAATTGGACAACCATAGCTCTGTAATTTCCAAAACTGAATGGAATTCTTATTTCAATTGTTATTTTGAGGCTTCCAAACATTATCAGAAGTCTAAAATTGCCTTTTTTCAAAATTATATTTTAAGATTAACTAAGACAAACAAATGATTAGAGAAAGATAAAATGGCTTCCAAAGCTCACGTTCCTCTCTCCTGGCTTCTTCGTCTCAGGCTCTGCCTCTGGCGCCATCATGTCCTTCCTTGTGTTCACGCCCTGCCTCTAGTGCCATCTTCCTCCTTTCCTTCTACAGTCTACACCTCCTCTATACCCTCAGTTCCCCCATACTAACTCTCTCACCAATCTTCCCTTTTCCCTGAACCTCTCCCCAGTCCCTCTTTCTCTGAATCTATCAGAACCTGTCTTTTTAAAATTAAGCCTTCTGAGGACTCAAAGGCTAAACCTTTAATTTCTTTTAATCCCCAGACTAACGCTGAACTCTGAACCATAGTCAAAGATTTTCCCAAAGTGACTGAAGATCCTCACAGTTTTACTGAGGAATTTAATATAGTCATTCAAACTTTTCAGTCTGGTTTCCCTGACTTATATCAGCTGGTTCATATGCTTGTCGGTGAAGGCCAGGCCCAGCATTGGATTAAAGCTGTTAATCTGGAAAATCCTGAAAGGTCTCTAGGATTACAACCAGGAAATGAACATGCTGATTTGTTGTATGGTCAGGCTCAGGCAATTGCTAGATGACTTCATCAGGCAATTCCTAGAGCTTTCCCAAGTCCTGTTGATTAGAACAAAATTCAGGCTTGTGCACAAAAACCTGATGAACCTGTTCATGACTATTACAATTGACTTCAGATTGCTTTTAAAAAAGTTTCTGGGAGGCCAGCCCGGTGGCATAGTGGTTAAGTTAGCGTGCTCCACTTCAGCCACCCAGTGTTCATGGGTCTGGATCTCTGGCACGGACCTACCCACTGCTCATCAAGCCATGCTGTGGTGGCATCCCACATGCAAAATAGAAGAGGATTGGCACAGATGTTAGCTCAAGGACAATCTTCTTCAAGCAAAAAGAGGAAGATTGACAGCAGATGTTAGCTCAGGGCCAATCTTCCTCACCAAAAAAAAAAAAAAATTCTGTTCTTCCTTCAGATGTTGGTTCTACCTGGGTAGCCTGTACCTTCATGTTTATCAATGTGCTGAACCAGGACCTTTCCCTTCTAGTAAAAAGGACCAGGATGGAATGGAAAACTATATCCACCCTAGATTTAGTTAATCTGGCAAACCAACTCTCTCACACTCCAGATGAGTCACCTAAAAGAAAGACCAGTAAAATTCTTGATCTTCAACTCCAGCAAATGAAGGCCCCTAAATGAAATCTCTTAGTTTCTATTATTTCAAAGAGCCAGGACATTGGAAAAGAGATTGTTACAAATTTAAGTGCTTTAAGTGCTCTCAGCCCTCTAACCAGACTTCCCAATGTTCTCACTGATGGGGCTCCAAGGAAATTCAGGGGATCTTTCCAATCCTCCCTCTCAATTGGCTTGGAGAAAGAGTTCTGCAGGTTGGAGATAAATCCCTTTCTTCCCTAGTTGACACTGGAGCCACACTCTCAGTGCTCAACCCCACTACTATAAAGCATCTCCTGCCTTGGAGTACTAAAATAGTTCAAATAGTGGGGATCTCCAATAAACCTCAAAAGGTTCCTGTCTCTGAACCCATTTCCTTTTGTTTAGGCCCTTTGAGAGACACACATGCTTTTATCCTTAGTTCCTCTGCCCCTATTCATTTATTAGGTACATTATACATGATACTTCTTTCTAAAAGTATCATACCAGAACTTCTTTCCTCCAAAAGGGGGAAATAATTCTAGAATTTGAAGTAGCCATCAAAACAGCCAATGAGGAGGGCAGCCCTGTGGTGTAGTGGTTAAGTTCCCATGTTCTGCTTCGGCAGCCCAGGGTTCGCAGGTTCGGATCCCAGGTGTGGACCTATGCATCGCTTATCAAGCCATGCTGTGGCTTACACACGTAAAGTAGAGGGAGGTTAGCCCAGGGCCAATCTTCTTCAACAAAAAGAGGAGGATTGGCAACAGAGGTTAGCTCAGGGCTAATCTTCCTCACACACACACACACACACACACACACGCACACGCACACAAACAGCCAAAGAGGTAAATTAAATGACACTTTGACATGTTTTATTTGCTCCATCTCTGACAGTACGAGAGCTGCTTCTGGAAACACTGACCATTTGTCTCTATTGAATCAGCTACCACCTGCCTTATGGGCAAAATCTCCAACTGATATTGATAAAAATTCATAACATAGCTCCCAACAAGATTCAAATAAATCCCTCAAAAACTCCTCCCAGAATTAATCAATATCTTGTAAGTAAAGAAGCCCTTCAAGGTATAAAGCTCATAATAGTCAATTACAAGTTCAGGGCCTCATTATCCCTTGTAATAGTTCCTGTAATACTTCTATTTTTCCTGTGAGAAAACCCAACTGCCAAGTGTGGAGGTTTGTCCAAGACCTCCAGGGCAATGAACAACATTGTTATCCCTTGACACCCTATTGTTCCTCACTTTCATATGCTGCAAACATCCATTCCCATTGGAAGCAAATTTTTTACAGTAATTGATTTATGTAGTGCATTTTTTAGCATTCCAGTTGATGAAACTAGTCAATACATTTTTGCCTTCACTTGGAAAGGAAAACAATTCACCTGGACGGTAATGCCCCAGAGATTTACTGAAAGCCCTTCTTATTTCTCACAAATCCTGAAGGCTGAGCTGGATGATATAAAGTTCCCCAGGGGTTCTACTTGGTTGCAATATGTGGTTGATTTGTTTCTTTGCTCTTCTTCCCAAACCTACTCACAGGAAGACAGTAGCCACTTGCTAGAGCTTTTAACCTTAAAGGGACACAAGGTCGCCAAAGAGAAATTGCAGTTTGACCAAACCCAGGTTTGATATTTAGGGCATCAGATATCAGAACAAGGGCTATACCTAGATTCAGACAGGTTTCATGGTGTCCTAAGTTTCCCCAAATCCAAAACTAAGCATCAAATGTGAGGTTTTCTCAGGCTAGTTGGTTATTGCTGAAATTGGATTCCAAATTTCTCTCTTATGGCCAAATCTCTGTAAGTTTTATTAAGGAACAAAAACCCTGACCTGATTTTATAGAAAGAGCAGGATGACATAAACATTAAGGCCTTAAAGGAGAGTTTGATGAACCCACCTGCCCTTGGATATCCCAATTATCAGATTCCATTTTTCTTTTTTGTATGAAAAGGAAGGGAATGCCCTAAGGGTACTCACCCAAAAACACAGGGACCACCAGTGACCCATATGGTATTATAGCCAGCAACTGGACCCTGTGGTATCGGGATACCCCCTTGCCTTACAGACATTACTGCCATTGCCCCTTTGGTTAAGGCCACCAAGAAAATTGTTGTGGGATCCCCTTTAACCATTTTTGCACCTCATGCTGTGGAAGCTCTCCTGAATTCTCATCACATTCAACATATTTCACTCAACCACCTCACCTCCTGTGAAATCCTTTTGTTAACCGCTCCTCACATAACACTTTTATGTTGTAATAACCTTAACACTGCTACTCTTCTCCCCTCCGTTACCAATGAAGTCTCTATGATTGCTTAATGTTGACAGATCAGCTCCTAACTCCTCATGATGATCTGCAGGAAACTCCTTTGGGTAACATCAACTTCTCATGGTTTACTGATGGTTTTTATTTAAAGGATGACCATGGCAAATACTGTATCTGGTAGGCTATTGCAACTGCTTTTGATATCATTGAAGAAACACCTTTAACTATGGCTACTTCAGCTCAACAGCCTGAATTATATACTCTTACACAGGCTTGTACTCTAGCCAAGGGCAAAACTGCCGATATTTATACTGGTAGTAGATATGCTTTTGGAGTAGCTCATAATTTTGGAATGTTGTGGAAGCAATATGGCTTCCTTACTTCCAGCAGAAATAAAACTAGAAATGGCCCCTATGTTCAGGAATTATTGGATGCTATACTTTTACCTGCTGCTTTAGCTATTATTAAGATGCCAGGGCATTCTAAACTTGACTCTCTGGAAGCTAAAGGAAATCACCTTTCTGATACTTCTGCAAGAAATGCTGCCCTTAAAGGAACCAACAACAACGAAACTTCTCTGTCATGGTCCAAAAGGACATTTCCCCAAATGATAACTTAGAAAAACTGTCTAAAGAAGCCCAAGAATTGGCCTCAGAAAAGGAAAAATAAGAGCATAAATTCAAGAATTGTTGGTTTGATAAAAAATAGAAAGTTCTGCTTTGAAGCAAATGACAACCAGTACTACAAGAGACTCTAAAATTTCCACTCCTAACTACTGTACATGCATTTAACCATTGGTCTACTGACAAAATGATAGCCATCATGAATCAGCATTGGTGGGGGAATATTAGCAAGGCCCCAAAAAGTGCCTACCTCACTTTTCCCACTTGTCTAAAATACAACCTGAGAAGCCTGTTTATACTGCTCCTGGACGTTTTAAACTGCCTAATGGACCATTTGAGGTTTGACAAATGGATTTCATGCAACTTTCCTGTCTCATGGATGTAAATATGTTTTAGTCACGGTCTGTATGTTTTCTCACTGGACTGAAGCCTTCCCTTGCAGAAAGGTTACTGCCTCTTCTGTGGCTAAAGTCCTTTTGAAAAGATTATCCCTACCAGAGAAACTTCTCCCAAACTTCATAGCGATCAAGGAACTTATTTTACCGGTCAGGTGCTTCAACAAATCTGCACTGTTTGGCTAGTTTTACAACACATTCACTGCACTCACCACCCTCAGTCCTCTGGTTTAGTTGAACATGCTATGGCATTATTAAGACTCATTTGGCAAAATTTGTAGAGACCTTCCAAATACCTTAGCCAAAAGCATTGCCTTTGGTTCTTATAAACCTCAAATCAACCCACTTTGGAACTCATAAACTCTTGCTTTTTGAGTTGGTCACAGGATGCCCAATGCACTTGGCTCCTGCTTCTTTTGATCCATAGCTGATAAAAAGAGACATACTCCAATATTGCAAAGGCCTAACTGCTTCTATTAAAATTAACCATCTTTTAGTAGAGCAGTCTTTTCATAGTGTGCTCCAGGGAGATGAAGAGCTTAAGCATCACACCTTGCAACCTTCAGATTTTGTCTATTGAAAAAGACAACTCCAGAAGGACTCTCTTCAACCTCACTGGAAAGGCCCCTATCCAGTAATGTTAACTAACCTTTGTGCCATAAAACTCTGGGGGATAGACTCTTGGATTCATGCGAGACACCTAAAGAAAGCATTAAACCCTGACTGGACCTGCACAACAAATGGTGACCTAAAAGTAAAGATTTCCCAGAATTGAGGCAGATGACATCTGATGAGACAGCTTCCCAAGGTGTTTGGGCTAGCCTGTTGAAAGTTTGTCTGTCAAACCTTAGATGATGACACAACACTTCAGATGATCTCCAATACGTATGATCTTGATACTATAAGGACTTTAGAAAAAACATACGCCTGAGAGTTCTCCCTCCTACCCCTCATTGTTACTCTAAATGTGACCTCAATAGATTTCCAATCTGCGCACTTTTCCTCCAGTGTGGGACATGACACCCAGGCAAGATCCTTCCTCATATCAAGGGACAAAAGGCTGCTGAAACTGGAAAAACCTGATCTTGATCAGTGAAGCTTTTAGAGAAAGATCTTGATCAAAAGGGGGGAATATGTAAATTAATAAACAAAAATCTCATTAAATTGGAGTTGGGAGGCCAAAATGGGGAGCTGTCATGCCCTACTTCAATAGCAGAGCCCAACAGGAAGAAGAAGAACTTCTTCTTCTTGACCTGCAAAGAGCTCGGCCAATGAGATACCATTACAACTCAGCTAGTGAAAAGCCAACACATCAACTCAGTTCTACAATGGACTCTTTGTTTCCCCTCTATGGAAGAGTTTCTCTTCCTCTTGTTGCTGGGGACTTGCCAGTGGCTCACCATGGTCGCAGATCCTGAATTGCAGTTCTTTGCTGATCTGAATAAATTCACTTTTGCTGGAGAAATAATTGTCTGTGTATTTGTTTAAGGTCAATACTAGTTGCTATTTTGATTCAGAACAATGAACAGTAGTAAACAAATGTAACTTTCCACAATCTTCATCAAAGAAAAATTAAAATTGAGATGCAAATATATTCTGAATGCATGTTTTTCTATTTCATGTATTTGTACTTTTCTAATGTGAGTTTGGTGGTTATGTTGTGTAATTAAACACACTGATATTTACAATGGAAAAAACAGATAATTATTGCATATTTCACAAAATACCCAAATATTAATTAGACTGAGGATAGTTGGTGAAAAAAAATAATATAATTTATTATAGTTGTGGATATTGAAGATATAAACTATTGTAAGTGCCTTAATTTTTTTTTTTTGCTGGGAAAGATTTTCCCTAAGCTAACATCTTTTGCCAATCTTCCTTTCTTTTTTTTTTTTCCTCCTCAAAGCCCCAGTACACAGTTGTAAGTCCTTCTATTTCCTCTATGTGAGGCACCACCACAGCATGGCTACTGTTAGATGAGTGGTGTGGTTCCACGCCTGGGAACAAAACCCAGGCCACCAAAGCAGAGCACTATGAACTTTAACCATTAGGCCATCAGGGCTGGCTTGTAAGCACCTTAATTTTAATTGCAGTTCATAATTAAAGTTATATTAACATACATGTAGATAATGTAGTTAGATAATTTTATCTTGAATTGTTTGGGAATATAATATATTGTTTAATAGACATGCCTTATATATAATGCATAAAAATAACTTTCATAGAATTAAAATTAAATAGATGAGGGCCCGGCCCAGTGGCGCAAGCGGTTGGGTGTGCGTGCTCCACTTCGGTGGCCCGGGGTTCGAGGGTTCCAATCCCGGCGCTCACTGATGCACCACTTGTCGAGCCATGCTGTGGCGGCATCCTGTATAAAGTAGAGGAAGATGGGCACAAATGTCAGCCCAGGGCCAATCTTCCTCAGCAAAAAAGAGGAGGATCAGCATCGGATGTTAGCTCAGGGCTGATCTCCCTCACAAAAACAAAACAAAACAAATAGATGATAAATAATACTATAATTCATCATTATCATGAGCAATAATCCATTTTTTAAAAATTCAGGTTTTGAGAATTTTCATGAATTGTGTCATACTAACACATCTTGGCTTTAGATGCTTGACTTCTAATGATTTTGAGGCTATTCATTTCTCTGCACCCTCTCTTTCTCAGAGTAAAGTTGTTTAAATTGATTGTCTCTATAAATGTCTCCCAAATCTGTGCCTTCAGCTTGGTCCTTTCTTCTGAGTTCTAGGGTTTCATTTTTGTGTGGACATGTTTCTTATTGAATATTATGCTACCATTTTAAGCACAGCATTTTAAAAATATAAAATATTTGCCCATAGGACAGTTTCCCTGCCTTATTTCTTGTATATGCCAAGAAACTAATTTTCTTGTAGTTATACAGGCTTAAAACTTTATAGATATATTTATCTCTCTGATGCTTTATTTCTCTACCAAGTTCTATTACTTTCCCTTTGTAAAATTTCACAGGTTTGACTATTTTGCTATATTTCCAAAGTGCTATATTGATTGCAGTCATTTTTCATAACTGTTTTCTTCTACCAGGTTTCATGCCTGCAAAACTCCCCTCTGCAAAATATCATATATTAGAATATTCTTCCTAAATATGCCTCTTCCTTCTCTTGAATAATATCTCATTCTTTTTAGAATAACTTTCAAACTCTTTACTCTGACATACAAGGCGATAAATCGCCTGCCCAATTGGAGATCCTTATACCAATCCATCACTCATTTATACAAATGCTTCACTCCAGCTAAATTTGTAAACCATTTTTATGCCAAAGATGTCCCATTCGTTCTTCTCTCAGTGTCACATCTTTATCAGGTGCCCTGCCTCTTTCTCTACTTAGCCCAGCCCTCATTTCAATGCCTGGCCCAGGTCCATAGGAAAGTCCCTTATCTTTGGGTGTTTACAGTGTTTATTTCACTACTGTTTGCCACAGTGACACCATCCCTTGCCCCCTCTAACTCCCCTCCTCACAGATAATC